AAAAACATTTAGTGTTGACTAAGTCTGGCCCAAAAACAGTGGACTGTACAAGTTGTGTTCTGTGGAATACTACAGACAAAGTATAGTATGTTATGACTGTATGCTTTAGCGATCTAACCAATGTACAAATTATAACTTTTTTGTTGTCCAGAAAGCAGGCAGCACTTTGTAAAACTGTAATCTGTCCAGGTACTAGCATAATTCCAGTGCTGGTCTGCTACTATGAACATTCTGCTATACAACTTTCCACTGGAATGGTTATCAGAATAATGAATAAGTAAAAGTGCCTGAAAATAGCTGTACAGCTAGTGTTGCTTCAAGAGCAAACACAAGGAAACCAGAACATCCGAGATAATTAATAACTATGCAAAGAATATGCATTCAACACAAAGAGAGTAACACAGTATGTTGTTTGGAGGAATACTTAAATGTGTTTCTGGGACCAGATTGTAATTTGAGTCAGACAAATGTAACTTGTAAATCATATCTGACACAAAAACCACCAAGCAGAATTCCCTGAAGCACTAGGAACATAGCCAGTTCTGAGATATAACACAGGTTGCAGGATGAAGTACTACAACCTTCAGATAATAATTGGCCATCTCCTGTAGTGACTATCAAAAGGAAAATATACCATTGTCCTTCATTAATTTTAGACAGGTGGACATAGTGACATGCATTGATGCCTTTCTGTTACCATAAGAGATGAATGTCTGGATGGATGGATGGATCAGAAGAAGCCATAGAATTCCAGATAGTGGTAAGTTGAATTGGATAATGAAAGCAGACCTAGGACTGCTTCTAGGAATTTAGATGGCTTGTGTGCATTTCATGTCATGTCATTTGGCATTTGTAAAGTGTCTATTGGTTTTAAGTGGCTTAGATTCAGAGGAATGAAATCAGAGAGATGCTTTGTCTATGTTGTAAACATCTCCATATCTGGTCACACATTTCAGTCTGTTGCTAAAAATCTTGGCATGGTTTTTCAGCAGATAAGAAAAACAGGCTTGATGTTGACACCAGCGAAATATTCACTTACACATATACAGGTGAAACTCCTAAGGTTAAAAATACTTTTTTCATCTGAAAATTTTTAAATTTCACTTACATAGCCTCTTAAACCTCCTAAATTAATAAATTATGTTTATTATTTTTTATCTGTTATTTTCTCTACCCTAGCATTATATGGATACGGTCGATTTGACCAACCTTGTAACCACCATACAAAAATATGAAATAAACCTAAATTATCCTATTTTTCTTTATAGAATGACTGCAGATTATCATAAAAATTGTAAAGGCTCACAACAGTCTACATAAGTTTCTACTTAATTTTATTATTTTATTTTCCTTTGAAATGTGTCTAATTAACAACCACATCATAGAAGTTGTAAATCACTGGGTGAACACATAGCTCATGTTAATGTATTGAGTAAAAAATTATTATAATCATTTTCATTATCTTATCTAATCCAACCATTTATAACCTAGTAAGTTAATAAGTTTTACATTTTAGTTACTTTTGTAACAAAAAACAAAAATTATACATGAAAAACAAGATATATATATATATATATAGTAATTACCTTTGACCTCAGTTTTAACAGTCAGTTGCTGAGGAAATTTAAGCCTACTTTTTTCATAATGATGGTACTAGTAAACTAAATTTGTTATTTACTTAAATAATGTATCTAATAACACTCACAAAGCAAACAATGCCCTTTATTATAGATGAACTGGTATTCTAGGTAAAATAAGAGAGGTTTAATATAACTCCCTTAGCTACTCAATATGGACACCAAAAAATAAATTTTCGAACTGTAGAAAAAGCTGAATTGAAATTGATGCAATATACATCTTTCGATAGATTAAAACTTTGCCTTTCTGTTGATTATGAATTATGTAATATAAAACACCAGATATAATTATTGGAAATTTCTGAAAGAGTATGTGCCAGTGAGTATGCTTTTTATATTATAATTCCATAAACAAAGACTGAAGGTTTTAAAAAATTAAATTTTCCTTGATAATATCTAAACTATAATGAGTAATTTACATTAAATTCCATATTTCAGAGAGGGGTGGTAAATAAATTAGAAAAGAATGAAGACCTAGAAGACAAATGTCACGATTCTCATAATTGAGACAATTTAGTTAAATATTTCCTCATAAAATCAAGAAATTAAACTTGTATAATATTGTTACGAT